CTGAAATCTTGACTGCAGGTTTCTTTTACCTCCTTGGTTAGATATAGCCCTAGGGTTTTGCTTTTTTTTTTCTCTCTCTCTTTCTGAAGCTATTGTGAATGGAATTCTTCTCCTGATTTCTTTCTCGGTGGCTCCATTATTGTTATACAGGAAAGTCATAGATTTTTAAATGCCCATAATCAGCTAAATGTATTCATCAGCACTATGACTCTTCTGGTGGATTTTTCAGGATCTTCTCGGTATAGGATCGCCTCATCCACACACAAGGATAATTTGACTTCTTCCTTTCCAGTTGGTATCCTTTTATTTCTTCCTTTGGTCAAACCACTCTCATTCACTTGTCAAGCACTCCATTGAATAGGAGTGGTGAGAGTGGACATGCTTGCCTTGTTCCTGATTGTTGAGGAAATGCTCTCTGGTTTCCCCCATTCAGAACGATGTTGGCTGTGGGTTTCTCCTATGTGGCCTTAACTACCCTGAGGAGTGACCCTTCACTGCTCAATTTTTAAGGCCTTCATCATGCAGGGGTGCTGAATTTGGTAGAGAGTTTTGGAATTGTTTTGATGGTAAGATAAATCTCACTTAGGGCTTTTGGGAAATCTACGCATGGTGCAGATCAAAAGATGAGAGCCTGGATCATGCTCATACAGGCGAACCTTATTCCCTATTTTCAAGATGAGCCTCTGAAATGAGGGATCTAAGGGACACTCCCTAATCTGGTAAAGGGGAGGAAGGGAGGGAAGAGAAAGCACAGGGATAGTATTTCAAAATAGCAAGTTTGACCATAGTGTATTTAAAATCAGGAGCAACCAAAAGAAGCCCAAATTTGCCATCTCTGTTAGAGTCTGCACTGGGCGGCCAAGCAGGCATGGTAAGAAGCCCGTAAATTTAATCTTATTCCCAGTATTCCCAGATTCACAGAAAATCCCAGAATGCCTGGAGACAAATTTTCAGACGTTACAGACTTTGCAGTAGGGTGGCTACTTTAAGATCAACCAATATGCTTGCATTTCTGCATTTTCAAATGGATTTCTGTATACTAGATCGACACAGAGATTGTCGTGGTAAACACATATCATATGTAAGAGTAGCAACACTCTGGAGTATCCTGGGATCAACACAATAAAACGATGTGTAAGATCTGAGAGTTTGAAAGATGAAAGTAAGGACGGAAGAGAACGACGAAAAAGTCAAGGTCCCACACAAAGGGGGAGACATTTCAAGTTCAGGACTTAGGAAGGCCAGATAATCCTCCCTTAACTGAGCCACAGGTTCAGCAAAGATGCAGCCCACATCTCTTGGGACAGACTTTGCAGGGAGCGTGACATGCAGATCCCTATATTTATATGGAAGAACAAAAGACGAAAAGTAGTAAAAATACGTTTGGATCCGATAAGATGTAGGGACTGGCCCTAGAAGACACCACGTCTTTTTGTTTGGGTTTGTTTAGTTTACCTTTTTTCTTTCTTTCTTTTTCTTTTTTTCTTTCTTTCTTTCTTTTTCTTTCTTTCTTTTTTGGTACCGGGGATCGAATCCGGGTCCTTGCGCTTGTGAGGCAGGCAGCGGAACCACTTTGCTAAATCTCTGGCCCAGACACGAAGTCTTTTTTTGAGGCAAGAAAAACTTAAGACAGTGTAGTACTGGCCAAGGAATAGACAAACGTACCCCACAGAACAGAAAGCTCTGAAGCAGAGACACCCGGGAACGTGCCTTAAAGTCTCCACGCATCGGCCCAGGTTTGCTCGAGGTGTATAATGCCACCCACCCA